TCGGTTAATAAAATGCAGGCAACCCAGAAAAAATTCAAGCAATAGCTCTGGGGAAAAAGACGCATGATAAAAGCATTACTTTAAACTTAAATGGTACAACTCTTGCCTGTGAGCAAGAAGTGAAACTGCTTGGTGTTACTTTTGATTTTAACTTAAACTTCAATTCTCATATATCAAATATTTGTAAGCAGCTCGACAATTAAATGTGTTAAAACGTGTCGGGAAACATCTCTGTAAACTGGGTAAACCTACCATCTATCATTCCTTTATAATGTCCAACTTTAGTTATTGCCCTCTGGTGTGGCATTTCAGTAGTGAACAGAATTGTCAAAAAAAAAAAAAATTCAAGAGCGAGGACTAGGATTTATATATAATGACTACACAAGCAGTTATGACCAGCTACTACTAAAATTAAAGCTCCCCTCACAGAGAAATCCCACATACAATTTTTGGTACAAAAAGACCCTGGAATTACCTAGGCCAAGAACTACTAGGTATGGAAAACAGTCTTTCAGCTATGCGGCTGCTACGTTATGGAATTCTTTACCAAACCATGCTAGGGAACTTTCCACCCTCAGGCAGTTTAGAACATTCATTGACACATGGAGGGGGGATACAAGTGTAGTTGGGGCAGCACAGCTGATGAGACAATATTTATTTATTTATTTTAGAGTCACAGTCTTTTATTTTTGCAGCTTTTCATTTATTTCTGAAGTCTTTCATTTGCTTTACTGATACCACCTCATTTCATTTTATTTAGTTTTCTAAGTTTCTTTTATATCTATATATTAAACTTTGTTATTTACTTAAATTTCCAGTAATAAGGTCCCTGGGGACTGAAACTTTTGGAGTAACATCCTATGATGGTAAAGTGTAAGCTCTCCAGGATCCTAGTTTCTTTTATTTTTTGCTTTTGGTGTCTGCTTTTTCCTAACCTCACAACAATACATATCTTGCCTATGTTGGTAGAGACTGACCAAATCACTAGACAGGATTTGGTGAGGAACTTCAATTATTTTTTTATTTTTATTTTGGTTAAGCTGTATCTGCTTGAATTTTTAAGTTTCTAAGCTACCAAATTTATTTTTCTATCATTAATACAATAAGTGCATTTTAATCTGATTCTATGTGTTTAATGTAGTGCTTAATGAAATATATGGAGATAACGAACAGTATTCAAGCTCAAAAGTCCATTAAACAATACAAAATAGGAGCAGAGCAAACACTGACCTCCAAACATCAGAGGTGGGATCAGGTGCCATGGAGGAGTGAGCATCCCCAGCCGACCTGTCACACCCGCCGTGCGCTCCTTGTCATGGTCGGGAAATAACGGAAAAATCCGTCGACAATTCAGTGTGTAAATAATGGCCTAACAATTAGTATGAAAAACGTCAGTCAGCATTTGACTCAATGATAAATTGTATTTGCTGACAAGGTCATTGTATCGACCATAGAACTTACGAAATGATGACTTTAAACGAGACAGCTGATATTCTTGATTCATCAACTTGTTTGTCAATAATTTACCCCGTTTTAGAAATTGTACATAAGTAGAGCATGCTCTTGCGTATCGAATCAACTGAGAGATATATACCCCGTATGCAGGTGATGAAGGTATATTGCTGCATAAGTAAGGGAAGTTGACGATTGAAAAGTTAAAGACATCACATTTATCATAAAGCTTGGTTGTTAGATTACCATTAACGTCTTTTTCAAGTAAAAATCCAAATATGAAACAAATGTGTTAGATTCTGTGGTATATTTTATCTCAAGCTCACCAGGATATATCGTATCGACATAAGAATGGAAATAGCCATTGTTAATTGACAATACGTCGTCGATATATCTAAATGTCGAGTTGAAGGCCACAGCAAGTGTTTTCTTCTTTTCACGTACAAAATTTTGAACAAATTTTGCTTCATATGAATACAAAAAAGGTCTGCTAATAACGGGGCGCAATTGGTACCCATGGAAATTCCAATAGATTGTTGGAATTTGCTATTATGATGATGCTTATTATTATTTTTTTTAATTTTTGTTCTTCTTGATGCAATCATTTAGCTTTTCAATTTTCTGTTATTTTCCTAATTCTTAAATTTGTTTTATCTGCCATACGTGTGTATATATATATGTACATGTGTTTTTGCATGCTAATTTATGTTGTAAATGTTTTCTATGTGATATTTTTAGCTGTGATAGTCGGTTTAAGAGCTCTACAGAGCTCATGTTACGTTCATTGTTAAACTATGTAAAAAATGCCGACTTCAAATAAAATTTACTTACTTACTTACTTATCAAACTTTTCCTTGATATTTCATCTAATATTAAAATACACTTTATGTAAAATCTCTACAATTGGCAAAAATCTCATGAAGATTGAAATTATTTGCTTATGAAATATTATACACACACCAAAGAGGGCAAAAAACGTCATTTTCTCATGCTATAACATAATTTTTTTGATATGAGTGGGTCTTCGCTCCATTTTTATGAAAGATAATTCTCATAGTTTGCATAAAAATAAACATTTTTTGGTTACCAAAAATATGGAGCAAAGACCCACTAGTCGCTCGCGTGGCGCAGTGGTTAGAGCGCCTGCTCTAGAGTCGCGGAGTAAGGAGTTGATCCTTACGTCGCGGGTTCGAATCCCACTGTGGGACGTGGAGACCGGTCCTTCGGATGAGACCGTGTTAACCGAGGTCCCGTGTCGCAGTAGGTGCTGGCACGAAATAGATTCCTAAGTGCCGAGTATAGGACAAAATTTGCAGCTCTCCACCGGCAAGTGGTGGCGTCTCCATATGAGTGAAAAATTCTCGAGAGGGACGTTAAACAACATACAAAACAAAGACCCATTATACCTTAAAAATATACATTCGCATCTTTTCGAGAATACTTGAAGTCCATTAAGTCAAGGATCATATCAGAAACATGATTTAAATACCACTATTCATCAGGACTTGTGTAGTCTAGTGGTTAGCGTGCTAGTCTCGAAAGAAAATGATCCTCATGATTTTTATTGCTAAAACCACTACTACCATATTATTTTTTTAATAAAAGAATAAATTTTGCCGAGAAAATTTTCCTCAGAAAAGTTTTGTTTATCACCATTTTATAAATTTCAATAATGAGAACTTTACTCTAGTAAATACTAAATTCACAAATTGAATATGATTTTTATATATCTAAAGCTATAGGCTTTCTGCTCGCTATGCCGTTCGCCCATCTCCTTTCCTTGTGTGTAAGTGTACAACCTAAGAACACCCGATATTTGTCATGAGCAAAAATTATTACAAGTCCCTACTTATAAAACCACAAATACACAGGTGCTTGTGGACAGGACCCTGCTTAAATTACAAATTGAACCCCTTTTTTATAATTATTTTTTTTAATAAAATTTTCTTTATTTTTTTTATCTCTTAAAAACTACTTGAAATTCTCTTTATATATATATATATATATATATATATATATATATATATATATATATATATATATATATATATATATATATATATATATATATATATATAGGGGTAACGAATGTTTAGAATTAGCATCTGCGTCGGAATTTCAATGTGATTTTTGATCAGGAACATGTAGATGAAGTAGTAAGAGATAAAATATAAAGAAAATTATGTTAAATTTTTTTTAAAAAAATCATTAAACGGGGGGGGGGGGGGGGTGCATCGTAAAAGCAGGGTCCTGTCCACAAGCACCTGTGCATAGATGCACTTTTTTTTTTTTACACATTATATATAAAACCTGCTGTAACGTTTTCAACTTCATCCAAGTCATTTATTATGGAATGAACACAGATCTAAGGAGATGGGTGAACATGACGAGAGATAAGCCTTTAGCGTGACAAACATGAAGATGAAAAATTAAATTTTAATCATATGAAAATTTTTCTTGTTATTTCGTCTAACATTAAAATATACATTATGTTAAATATCTACAATTTGTAAAAAAACCCTCAAAGATTGAAATTATTTTCCTGTGAAACATTAGACACACACCAAAGGGGGCAAAAAGAGTATTTTCTCATACTATAACACTATTTTTCGATATGAGTGGGTCCTCGCTCCACCTTTTTGAAAGTTAATCCTCAAAGTTTGCATAAAGATATACATTTTTGGTTACCAAAAATATGGAGCATTGACCCACTATACCTTAAAAATATACTTTTATGACATAACATTCGCATCTTTTCGAGAAATACTTGAAGTCCATTAAGTCAAGGGTCATATCACAAACATGATTTAAATGCCACTCTTCATCAGGACTTGTGTAGTCTAGTGGTTAGCGTGCTTGTCTTGAAAGAAAATGATACTCAGGATTTTTAATGCTAGGGTTCGAACCCCATGAATATCACATTAATTTTTTTTAATAAAAATAAATTTTGTTGAGAAAATTTTCCTCAGAAAAGTTTTGTTTATCATAATTTCAAAAATTTCAATAATGAGAACTTTACTCTAAATACTAAATTCACAAACTGAACATGATTTTTATGTACTAGTATCTGACGCTATATGCTTTCTGCACGCTATGTTCGCCCATCTCCTTTAACCAATCCCTTGGAGGTCATGTGATTCTACGACGAGTATGAAGGAGTGTTCCACGATTTTTCTGGCATGTTTGACTAATACAATACATAGGCAAAGTTAGTTATTTTAAATCTAAAAAAATGAATTTGTTTTTTGTTGTTTTTGTTTAAAATGCCACATTTACCTCTTAACTAAAAAAAATGCTTCTGAATAATGATAGTGTTCACATGACCTTTTAAAGTTCCTTGCCTTCATACCAATGTTCAAATTTGAGTTTGGCTCTTTTCGAGACAAAACTGCTAAATTTTGCGATTCATAAAGTAAATATATGCAATATTTATTTAAAAAAAAATAATTATTGAATTTTTATACATAAACATCTTCACTTCAGCAAAGTTGAAAATGCTTAATATTTCACAGCTTATACAAACTTTAAGAAGAAAGAAAACACACTGATCACTAATACCCATATTTATTTCAGAGAACAATTTTTTACCATCAAAGTTAATGGAACATAAACAAATAGTAGGGACCTCGTCTTTCTTGCACATATCGATTGCTTTCAGATTTCGGAGAGAAGTTTGCGTTGCTCCTCACAACGCCTACCCCACTGTATTGGCCGCAGTTCCGAGTGAACTTGATGTTCTTGAAGACATCCGAGGCGCCCAAGGTTTTCGTACCCCAAAAATTCCTCGATGTATATTTTGCATTTCTCAGGAGACTACGTGCCGAGGAGGCGTTCAAAGTTCCCGTTCCTTTGGGGTTGCTTGCCAACAATAAGTTAAAGCCGCTGTGACGAAAGACTGCAGCGCCATGACATAGCCATACCCAGTGGTTATTCCCGCCCGCGATGTCATTGTAGACAGCTACGAACCAGTTGCGCCAGTAGAATTTCTGTGTTAGTTTTTCATATACTTTATTGGCTACAGCTGACTTGGAACTGCCTTTGTTGAATGTCAGAATGTGTTTGGCGTCGTTGGTTGCTACATCCCTGAAGTTGTTCGTAAGATCTCGGTCCACTTTTTCCATAGCCTTTCGCATTTCGTTGATTTGACCTGTCCATTTTTGTTCATGGCCCTTGAGAGAGTTGGGGTGTTTGATTTTGTAGTACGCCATCTCAACCTGACTTCCCACAAGAATAAGTTTGGTCAGCCCCAACATGAACGTTTGTATATCGCGCCGGTCGTTTTGGTTAGCCTGCACTGCTTCCGTGAGAACGTTACTGGAAAACGTGGATCCATGAGATACGATGTGATTGTATAACATTTGGGCGCTGTTCTCGTACACGCATTCATAAACAGTAGCGAAAGTATCCCTAAAGCTCGTAAAATCACTACCACTGGCATTATAGAACTTATCCAATTCCATTTTCATGGCCTTTATTTTCTTTTCAAAGGTAAAAAATTGGACTCTAACACGGTTCCAGTCCATTTTGCGAGCGATTTCATCTAATCTTCGATCAACTTGGTCAAACCGATTTTCGATTTTGGACAACATATCACGCATAAATTTCAGCTCTGCGGACTCTTCTTGAATACCAGCTATAGCGGCTATAATCCCAATCGCCGGACCCACCATGCCAAGATATGGACCAACTCTAGTTGCCAGTTTCCCCATGGTGGTTGCAAATTGCCTGTCGCCGATTGCTTGCGCCAACTCGGTGCCAGCGGTGATGCCATTGTCCACAATGTCATTTCCGGTCTGTGCGAATATTACTGATGTTACCACTAGAGCAAGGAACGCCCCGAACTGTACCTTCATCTGTAAAAGAGCAATAGGACAATGTTATTTTGCTCTAAAGAAATCAAAATTAGGTTCGACACAACGCTACACGAAAAGTTTTTCACTGAAGAATATTTCAACAATGATGAAAATGAAATTATCCCAGGGCATATATAATGATAACCTATAAGACCAAAGTTTTTTTTTTTTTACATGTTAAATTATAGCTTTTGTCCGTTTTGCGAGAACTCGTTCCCAGTCCAAATAGTACTGTCACTAATAAGGTTATAAATGACAACTCGAGAAAATATGCCGGAGATTTTTAGGAACTTGGACAAAAAGACATTATAATTTAAAAACTCACTTATTTAAATAGGCTTTCCTATTTAACCATTAGGTTTAACACAGTTCTTGTGAATATTTGTAAATTCATTTGTTTAATTACTTGAATACAGAATTTCGCTGCTTTGCTTTTCACTTTATTTTACAAACGCTTAACTTCTTAAAATATTCCTACTTTTTACAAATGCTAAACATTTTAAAATGTTTCAACCTTGTTAAACTGAATGCTTACCTTATTGTTACAATTTTCCTTAAATCGACTTCTTCCTTTTCTTGGCGCCCAATGAAATACGCTGCCTCGTGTTCTTGGTACCTTATATATGAATCCCTGAAAAGAGTAGCATTATTTGAACGGAATGCTCGCCTTTTCCGGGTAAAATTCACCTTGACAAGTTTACGTACTGTCAAATTCGAAAAACCCGCCCATTGGTTTCAATACAGAAGAAAGTGGGCGGAGTTTGAACAATTTACTCTGAATTGAGGTTCCAAGGAAGGGGGCGTGGGGCTTTTGGGGCAGTTTTATGGTTGATGCGCATGAGACGTTGTTCTTCAACTTTTTCATATACTTATGCATAATGTATTTTTAAAAAGGGGGGGGGTTGCTTATATATAAAGCTATATTTTTCACAGTTAAAAATACTAGCGATTTTTTTAAAGAGTAAAAAAGCAATAATCTCAGAAAATCTAACTGAATTGGGAGTATATAGTCAAACTCAAGTATTCATGTTCGGCTTCTATCTTAACAACACCAGCACCTGTGTTAAATACTTTTAAAACCTTTATGCATGCATTTCAACCAAATTTCCATATCCATTCACAAATTTAGAAGTAGAAAAGGGCAGTAGGGGATAATTACTTTTTAAAATCTAGGCTATGCAGTCTCCAAGAGTGAACGAAATACAGATTTTTTTGCGTTTCTTTTTTCTTTTCTTTTCTTTCTTTTTTTTTTTTTGCAAGATAATGATAGGAGGTCTGCCCTCTCTTTAAAAATATAATATATGTAATAAGCATTTAATTTCTACTTACAAATTACTATTTTTAACAACAAATAAACATTTTATTATTAATTCCTTTCAAGATAACCTAAACTTAACAAACAAGAGGAGAAGGGTCAGGGGGTCCCGAACCCTCTTCCTCCACACGGGATTTTCAGAATTATTAAATTCATATAGTGAAGTATTAAAAAAAATGATCTCGCCCTCCCATTGAAAGCAAAATCCCTTACAAGGAGAGGCATATATAATAAGGATAGCGGGTTACCCCTGTATCCCCCAGATAGGACTTTCGGACAATTATTTTTACTTAGTGTTTGTCAAGAAATTCTTAATCAGAGTTTTTATTTTTTATTTTTTTTAGTGGATGAACACCCTCTTTTTTTGTTGGAAAAAATTTCTGGATCCGCGCATGTAATACATGAAGTCATTAGACACCTCCTCATCCCCTTCCCACCAAGAATGGCCAAACGAATATAAATGACTTGCTTTAAGTTGAAACTTTAAAAAAAAAACCAGAGTAGTTTTGTCGAGTTATTAGAGCAGAACAATGTACTACATGTATAAAGAATTCATTTACTTGTAGAGCACCACACCTCCCGGAATACTCATTTTTTTAACATTTCAGATTTTATCACATAGAAGTGAATTCAGAATTTGTGGGGAGATTGAAGAGTAGATACGTTCATTTATCCATTCATCTATGAGGAAAAAATTCAGAGAGAGAGAGAGAGAGCGGGGGGGGGGGGGTTGATAGATTTTTCTAATTCAAATCCTCTTACGAATACTCCTCTCCGGAGCATTGCAATTTAGCTATATATACATGTATATATGCTGATTTTCGTCAACTCTGAGCTAACGTATTACTTATTATAACCCCACCCCTTTTTTAGTTGGTCCCCATTACTTTGAAAAATCCCTGTGCTGTAGAATTGAGCTATATGACTGTATACAATCTGCTAAAATACTGTAGATATTACAAGTGATAACACCCAGCAATAAATATTTTCACAGATAACCCATTAGATACGGACCCAACAAGGACTTCGATAACGGTGATAAAATATGCAAGTCTAATATAATGATGCATTAATATGTTAAAGTTCGTACTTAAGATATAAGAATATAAATGGCGCTTTCACCAAAAATAATCACCACAACTTCTCATCCGCAAAACAGAGGGGCGTGTGATTGGTAAGTTCAAATTATTATTAAGGGGGTGGATCTAACAATTCATGAACATGATTATATTGAGCCTATAACAGATTGCTGTAATCCCTATCTATAGTTCTGTATACTTTTCTTTATTGTCTGTTATGACTTCCAAAGAAGTATCTGAGAATTTCTGAGCATGTATCATACAACTTTCATCAGTATTAATTTTGATTTCGTCATAGGGGTTGGCCAGGATTGGTGGCGTATGGATCACATCAGTATGTTGTAGTGGTGGATCCAGTTTCTTCTCAGGTTGATATTGACCAATGGCAAAATAGATTAATTTTAATGCAATTTCGTCTGACAAAAAAAAATCAACATTTACATCTTTTTTCTAGGTTACTCAAGTACTTGGTGTACATAAGGGATACGTTACTTGTGTAAGTATGTAGTTACAATTCATATATTAGTAGTGTAAAGCATGTTTTCACAAAAACTTTTCCTGTGATCGAAAACCTATTTCTATCCCTCTAAGATAATTCAAAGGTGGAGTTATTTGGAATTAAAGATTTATAAGCGTACTAAGTGAATTTCAAAAAAAAAAAACAAAAAAAAAAACCGAAAATTTTCCTCAATATTTTCTTTCAAAATACATTGAAAGTACCGGATAATTGACTCAGGTTAAATGGAAACCGGAGGATATACACCACGATGTGGTTGTCAATCCTTACACTTTAACGCTGGCTGCAGGTGACACACAAGGTAACGTCATGCTGTGGAACGTCACAAAAGGAGAGACGAAGGCAACATTTGTCTGCAAAGGACGATCTGTGCGAGGTATATAAATACACCACTAACACACACACACACACCCTCACACACACAAAATCAAAACAAAACAAAACCAAAACAAAAACACGGTACGATATCAACTAAATAAAGTGTGGTAAAAGCATTTATCAATTTCTTAAAATGTGTTTCGCCTTATTTATTCAAAGAAAAAGGGGGCGGGGGTTCACAAGCAGAAGTTAGAAGAGAGAAGACAATCCCAGTCTTTTAATCAAAAATATTTTATCTTTCCTTTTTTCTTTAATTTTTTTCTTATTTGCTGATCTTTCAGATATTACCTGGATAACGAACCAAGAGACAAGCGAAGCGACCATTCTAGCATTATATAACAAAAGTGATGTCATCATGTGGGACTTTCTTACGTCATCACAACTTTGGAAAGCTTCCTTTCCGGAACCATTGTCAAATTTATGCATTGACCCATTCAACAAAAACAATGCAATATGTAAGTAAATCTACATAGACAAAGGACTATAAGAAAATTTGATTAATACTGCAACAAGTGTATATATCCTCTAAGAATCGTGCATGATTTTAGAAAATGTCATCTAAACTGTGTTGCATTCGATGCCACATTTTCTGGATGAAAAGATTTTCAGGGTTTAATTCTGAAGATAGTTGCAGATGTACACTCTTCTTAAAAATATTTGCTCTAACTAGTAATTAAGAAATAGTCAATCTATATACTTGTATTTTTAATGTCTAAAAGAAGTCAAAAACTTTCAAATCAATCGGAGAGTATTGGATTGAAAGCAGAACTCAAGTCTTGCAATGTGTCTGAAGTACATATGACATCATTCCAAAACTTATTCTTCATCGAACACAATTTCAAACTTACTTTAGAACATAAATTCAAGCATCTTTTTTGTCAGTTCTTTGCGAGGACAGTAACATTCTGCTGATAGAAGATCTTCATCCAAAAGCACCACCGTCTCAGAAATACAAACGGATCAGTTTTTATGGGACAAATGGACCTTGTAAGTTAAGACACTAGGTATTATATAAGTTCAGACACACTGAATATTTGCAGTTTCATAAAGAATGATACAATACTATACATTTATTGACAGGGTTCGAGGGTAACCTGCGTTTTGTCGGACCCAAGAACCAAACTGATTGCCTGAGGCCGTTATGCTGAAGGCAAACGGTTTGATTCCAGAGTTCGGCTAAACGCATTTCGCCCGAGAATACAGTCAATGTTTTCTTATACCTTGTACTATGTATTTTGACATATCTTGCACTGGTTTTCATGTTTGCGATACTTGATGTAAATTTCGTTTACCCTATTGCGGATTTAAACTTGTTCAATTCCGTAACTGTCGAACACTAACGAATGCAAATAAGATATAGTTGATCCTGCCTGCAGTGTGATGTAAAAAACGTCACAGCGATCCAGTATCTAATCGACACGTCCAACATCTCACTCAGCTGTCCAACGTCGATTTCTTTTTTTTGAACATCACCGGTCAGTAAAACATTGGAAATGTTCGACTTTTTTTTTAGTATAAATATACATTGGAAACACTTTTTAAAAGTATAGCAATAATTTTTTTTTAGAAATAGCAGATAATTAATGTGTTTTAGTTACGTACGTCTTCCCCTATTTTTGCCAATTTTTTTTGTTTTGTTTTTTGTTTGGTTAAAAATGTGTTTGCGCCATTCCTTTAAAACTTGACTGACCAGTATGAGATTATGTTTATTGTTTATGCGTGATTTTAAGGTCTATTTTGACTTTAAGTCACATTTTTTTATGTCGAGGTAACTGAAAAAGTATCGAAATCAAGACAGAGTAATAAATGAACAGAGCTCACAGACAGTAGGGAATAGGATAATTTATTATGTACTCAACAGTTGAAAATGTTCATTTAAAGGCTGGTTGCTCCTCCCACCCCCATTTTGTTGCAGCATAGTCAAATCGGGGTTAGTGGTAATGTATGGAAGTTGGAACCCCACCCCACCCTCTTTCGAAATAGGATTTTAGAGACATTCCCCCTTTTTTTCAGCAAGTTGTCAATTTTTTTTCTGGCTGCCGACTCCCCACTTCCAAAAACGACACTACGTGCCTGGTAATTGCAACGGATATAGCTAGGGAAGGGGTGATATATTCATTTTGTCCAAAGTACACAAAATTCTAGTTCCACATTTGGAATTCATCCACATGAACGTATACTGTATGGATAATTTTCATAAAATAATTCTTATTAAAAATTAAATTCATGCTGGATTACTTATAGCTTCAGAGGTCTCACAGTCTGTAGATGAGCAAGGGAATATGAAAAGGAACTCGTCATCTCTCA